GAAATACCTGAATGGAAGTGGGAACACATAACGATGAATTTTATATCAGGATTGCCACGAATTCAAAAGAACCATGATGCGGTTTGTGTGATAGTGGACCGATTGACTAAGTCCACACATTTTTTACCAGTTAATATGAAATATTCTTTGAAAAAACTTGTCAAACTTTATATGGATGAAATTGTAAGATTGCACGGGATACCAGCGAGCATAGTATCCAATAGAGATTCTAAATTTGTATCTCAATTTTGACAGAAGTTACTAGAGACTTTAGGAACTAAATTGAATTATAGCACAACCTATCATCCTCAAACAAATGGACAGTCAGAGTGAACCATTCAAATCTTTGAGGATATGTTAAGAGCATGTATTGTGGATTTTGGAGGAAGTTGAGGCCAGAATATGACGTTAGTCGAGTTTGCTTATAACAATAGTTATCACTCTTCTATCCAAATGGCACCATATGAAACACTTTACGAATGAAAATGCCAATCACCGATCCACTAGGATGAGATAGGAGATAGAAAAGTTATAAACCTAGTAACAATACCATGGATTGAGGAAGCCTACGACAAGATAAAAGTGATATGTCAAAGGTTTCAAACGCCCAAAATCGACAAAAGAACTATGCCGACCATCGGAGAAAAAATTTGAAACTTTAAATAGGAGATCAGATATTTCTTAAGGTTATTCTATTAAAAAGAAAGATTAAGGCAGGAAAAGGAAAGAAATTACAACCCAGATACATAGGTCCCTTCCACATACTCCAACCGATAGGAAAGGTGGCATATTGATTAGAGTTGCTAGTAAGTTTATCTCGAATCCATAATATTTTTCATGTCTCTTTACTTAAGAAATGTCACCCGGATCCGACCCATATACTGCCACCAGAGAATATTAAATTTGACGAATCTTTAACCTATGAGGAACTGTGACGACCCCACTTCTCCCAAGGGCGAACCCGAGGGTATTAGCGGGCCGCCTGCCTAACTCGCGCCAGGACTCAAAACTTAAAACAATAAAACTAGATAAATCGAAAGAGCACTATATACAATATATACAATCCACAAAAGTGTTCTAATTACATTCTTCAAAAGTACCTGCTCATACTATTACATCCTTATAATTATAACCAAAACCAAAAAGTAGACCCTAAGGAGGGTCCTTATACAAACCACCAAAACTAAAACCAACATCCTAATTGTCCAACTATTACATGCAAATCTAACTATACTAGTGTATGTGCCAAAAGTCCCCGCGTCGGCTCCTGCTAAGGAAAACAAAAGGAAAGGGGTAAGCTATATGCTTAGTAAGTAAACAGAGGAAAAAGCATAAATTTCACGTAACAACAGTTACACAGTAAGAGTAAAGCAAAAGCAGAAAAGTAACATCACATAATAAGGATACAGGTGGCTCCAAAGCCAGATCGTTTGCCATGCGTGACCTCCTGCCGACACTCCGTCGACCACAAATAATGGTCCGTAGAACTTCACCTGTACTCCCACCGTACACCTTATCACCCTCTCTGGCCAGACACCTCACAAACTTGCTCGAGCGAACGAAATTGAGCTTGGTTCACAAGCTCGGGTCACAAACTTGGTCCACATAATCGGCGAACCGGATTCACAAACTTGGTGACCTCAAACCAGGTTGGACTGACTTCGACCAAACCCTAACCGACTCGAATAGTCCATATAGGTCATGAGATCGGGCCCCAAACTCACAAACTTCACAAAATTTACTCAAAAGTCACCCCGAGCCACAAGCTCAAGGGGTTTAGTTCCAAAATGATTCATATACATATGCCATGTAAAAATATGTGCGTAAATTAGGGTTTAGGTCGAGTGCGATAAAGTACACCCTCGCCTATGTACCCTTTTCATACATATCGAAACACATAAGCAACTAACACATAAGAGCGGCCTGAATACTTACCCAACGAACAAAAGAACAAAAGTTCGAAATTTGTGCCGCGAGGAGTAGCTAGTAGGCCCCACCAGCTCCACCTAACTCACCACCATCTGAAATAGAAGATTACGTCACATAATATCATAAACGGCTACTAATATGCCTAAAACAAGCAAAACGGCAAAATCGCCACATACGAGTGCGGAAACGGCATACGGAAACGGGAATGGGAACCTAATCGCTTTGCCATCAAAACTGTTTTGAGCCTAATTGAAGCTACGAGTGTCGGATCAAGGTACATGAGGTATCGTTACGAAGCTAAAAGGAAGGGTTACAGTTTTCATGAAGACACCTCAATCCGGATCTAAACGGAAATAGGTCGAAAGTATAGAAAACCGTTCCAGGAATTTGCACTCTAGAGTAACGAACCGGGTATATTTGCTGGACCATAACTCCCAGCTCACAAATCCAAATCAGGAAATTATAAAGGCATTGGAAAGCTGAGACATAAGGCTAAAACTTTGATGTTTTGGTCAAGACCTGAATCCACTCAGAACAGAATGAAAATTGAGTGCCAAAGTACCCGTCAGAACTGTCCAGATCAAAGGCAGTTCTGACGATAAATCTTGTTTTGGTCATAACGGAAGCTACGGAACTCGGATTTTGACGCATTTTATACCGTTTCAAAACTGAAACCAAGATCTACATTTCTTATGAATGAGTCAACACCCAGTTCGTGCGTTATCAAAACGGACAAAACAGGGCAGAAGCTAAAACCAGAAATGCGACAGAATTCGCAGTTTAGAATAGATGTGACTATTTTGGCCATAACTCAGGCTACATAGATCCGCTTGACTGGAAATTTTGTAGGTATATTAAGGACTTAAGAGGCTACAATGTTGAAGAAGGCCACTCAGTCCAGTTTAAAGTGTAACTAGGTCAAAAATGCAATATACCACACCAGAATCACAAAAATAGGTTCACAAACCGCATTCTGGTTCAAACATCATAAGTCAGGCTACCTAAGTCCAAACCAAGTGATTCCAAAGCCATCCAAAAGCTAAGATACATGGCTAAAATTCATCAGAAGACCTCAATAACCAATTCTGAAGTATTCCCAACCAAAATAATCCAAGTACAGACGCAACTATCAAATTCGGGTAGAAACAGGGCAGCAGGGGTAATTTAGTCTTTTCATAAGCTACGTTGCTCTGATTGACCTGAAATTTTGTAGGCATCTCTAAACTATCATTCCCTACAACTTTCATGTTTTAACCTAAGGCTAATTCGGCCTCTAACCATGATAAAAAGTGCCGGGAAGAAATGGGATAATCGAAACCCTAATTCCGAAATTTTCCGTTCAATGCGGAAATTTTCCGCAATTAACCACCACTCACATCCTCTAGCTTCATTTTAGATCATTTCCCATCATCATACAAAGCCACAACATATGAATCATATGAAAACAGAAAAATCCCAAATAAATAGAAAAATTCACCAATCTTAACTAAAATCAAGAAATAATCCACCAAATCACACTTATAACAACCACAAGTCATTAATTAAACATCATTAGATAGAAGAGAGGGGTTCCATAGTCACTCACCTTATCAACACAAGAAAAGAGACCACTTAGCACCTTAAGCTTCCAAACAACTTCACTAGTCACCTCACAACTACTAAGAGAAGGATTTTTATGGAGAGTTTTCGAATTTAATCGGTTGAAATCGAAGATTGAGCAAGATTGAAGGTAAGAAAGTGAAGAGGTTTTTCTTCTTTCTCCTTGGAGAGTGGCCGGCTATAAGGAGCTAAAAATGAAGATGATTTTGGTAATTTTTTTGGTTTATTTGGTCAATTAGTAAAAAGGTGAATAGTAGTCAAAATTGTAAGGTTTAATCATATGGTGACACTTGTCACCCTATTTAATACATACATATCCTTTTGTCTCTCTCCACTCTCATCCATATAACAACCTTTAATTATCTCATAACACCCGGTAAATTAAACCCAGTATCCAAAACTTAACCTAATTTGCCGAATTTTACCGAACTTTCCGCGCTAGTGGGTCCCACGTCCGATATACGTTCTTAATTTCTCAAAAACTAACTGATACTAGAAAAATCATCTAAAACCTATATTTACTCATAAAAAAATTATCTGGGGAATTTTCTAATAAAGAAAATGTAGAAAAGGCGGGCGATAAATAAAACTCCACTTAAGCTTTCTAATAAATTGTAACACTAGAGGTTTGCTAATCTAGAGTTTGCTAACCATTTCAACTTGCTAAACCTTTGTAAACTAAAACGAATCCTAAACTTACATATGCCAAAACACACACTAGAACACCGAATATAAATTATAGCTCGAACCTACGAATAATAATACATAAACTAGGGTTTTCAATCTTAACCGAGATTAGGGTTTCCTCCTTAGCCCTAAAACCCTAATTTCACCACACCGAATAATGAATAACCCTAATATCAACTTACGAACTGACTGGGGCCTCACAGGAACGACCTATTCGACTATTAGACCGAAATATGAAAGATTTGAGAAATAAGCAAATTTCATTGGTTAATGTTCTATGAAAACACCATGAGGTAAAGGAAACAACTTGGGAATAAAAGGAGGATATGCAAGAGAAATACCCTGAACTATTTACGAGTAAAAGTATGAATTTCGACGTTGAAATTCTTTTAAGAGGAGAGAGTGTGAATACTAGAAAATTCATTTATATTTTCATATAGGGAAAATGGCCAATTTCGTCCCTATACTTTTTTATAGTGTCAATTTAGTCCCAATATAATTTTTTTGGCCAATTTGATACCTATACTTATTTTGAGTTACCAATTGAGGAACGCCGCGGCGGCGCCACCATGTAAATTCGATTAACATATTAATTGAGCAACAAAGCAGGGGTATTTCGGTCACTTCATTGCTTCTTCATTTTTCACGTTTTCTTCTTCATCTTGCTTATTGCCATCCACAGAAGCCATAGCCGGAGTAGCAGATCCGTCTCACTCCAACTCGAGGACAGATGCCAGTGACGTACGCGAGACCAGGCTTTTAGTTTTGGGAATATTGGGGCTTTGCTAAAGAGGAAGAGGAGGGTGAGGAGGGGATGGGGATGGGGATTGGGGATCCGAGTATGATAATATTGAAAGGCTAGACAAGTCATCCAACAACTGCTGGCGCCACTGACGATTACCATCTAGACCAAGTAGTTCAGCATCTAAATCAATATCTCTAGCATTTATGGCAGCTTTCAACCTGCTGCCAGGCAACTGCAGGTTTGGAGGTGCAAGGGTGGGCTGGTTTGGCCACATAGATCCACCAATAGGGGAAGAGGCTCCAGAAGGAGTCATCGGCGGTGTTGAGGGTGGAGGCATCATGATAGAAGGAGAACTAAGGGCGAGTGGGCTGATTGATGCAATATCAAACGTCGAAGCACTGGAAGAGAATGATCTAGGGGAAGGCACTGCTGAACCAGTGGAAGCATACAGGGGCCGTAACTCTTCAGGTTTGTGGGCAAAGAAACATACCCTTCTTGTACAATTAGTCTCGTCCTTGCACAGACGAGTACGATATTGGGCAGGGTGAAGCCAGCACTCAAAAATTCCATGTGCATATTCACATGCGTCTCCCCTCTGGCATGTACCCTTGTGAAAATCAGGGCAAGGAACATAGCTGTAATGATACTTTCTTGGATCACGCCGCCTAGCATTTTCATCAGGGTGAACAAAGGGACATTCAGTCCAGTCATGCGAGTAGGCCCTCGAGCAAGGCTTGATCTTAAATGTATACATCCTAAACTCATCCGTCCCGTATATACCATTCTTTATGTCAGGAAGGGAGGGCAGTAGCCTGACAATCTCAAGTGAAGCAGCAAAACCACCCGCAACAGTGCAATGGAGGGCAGTAGCACCATCAGAACCACAAGTTTTGTTGACATCAATCCCACCTTTTTCCAGGATGTAATTGACAACCCTTTTGCTGCCAAACATAGAAGCGATCATGAGAGGTGTCCTCTCCTCAAGCCCCATCTCCTTTGAACCAATTCTTCGACCATACCACACAGCCAACTCATCAATACCATGTCCCTCCCTTTCTACAGCAACCATAAAGGCAGAAAGATCATCAGATGCTGAGAACTCGAGCAACTCTGAAGAACTAGAGACAAAATCCCCCATGGCCAAATCAACAGCACAATCTTTCCTCTTGGAACCATTGCACATGTTTATATTCAACTATGTCCTCTCTCTACAAAATAGTCAGAGAGCAAAATTGGCCACATAATTTAAAATGGTGGGTGAGGAGGGGGGATGGGGATCGGGGATCCGAGTCTGATAATATTGAAAATTGGGCAGCAAGTCGTACTCTCCGTTCTGCGTCAACGTGAAGAAGCTGCTGGGTCAAAGATCAACTACCCAACATAATTTAAATTCTTCCAAAAAAATAAAAGAAAAGGGGATGTTGCATTTTACAAAGAATTTGGGGATTATGATGTTTTGGAGGCCGAAGGTTTGGCTTTACTTTTTGGTTTGCAGTTGTGTTCACAACGGGGCATTCGCCCATCGTTGGTAGAAGTGGATTCTAAAACCTTGGTGCATTTGATTATCTCTGGGGTCATTGCGAAGTGGCCTTTATGTAATTGCTTGAGGAAGATTAGAAGACTTTTGGAGGGGTTCTCGGCCACCATTGCGCATGTGTTCCATGAGGCTAACTCGGTGGCAGATAGGCTAGCAGATATTGGAGCTATAGGTGTACGGGAATACGACCACTTTCATTAGTTGCCGGCAATCATCCGGTCCTCGGTTTTGCTTGACTCACGTAGTGTGCCTGGGATTCGTTGGGTAAGAGAGGAGGGTTAAGATAGGGTTCTTGTACGCATAGTCTTTGCATTGGGGAGGTGACTCCCTTTTTCTGTTTTAATTTTGTTTTATCAATAAAAGTTGGGGCTGGCATCCCCCCCGGGTACGGGTTTTGCCAAAAAAAAAATATATCTGTGACGACCCCACCTCTCCCAAGGACGAACCCAAGGGTATCGGCGGGCCGCCTGCCTAGCTCGCACCAGGACTCGAAACACAAAACTAATAAAACGATATTAATCAAAAGAGAACTGTTTATAATATAAACAACCACCAAAAGTTCTATTTACATCTTCAAAAGCATCAAGTCAAACCTCTCTAATATACTATAACAACAACCAGTAGAAGGTAGACCCTAAGGAGGGTCCTTATACAAACCACCAAAACAAAAACAAACATCCTAACTGTCCAACTATTACAAACGAGACCTAACTATACTAACGGCAGAGTCCCAAAGTTCCCCGCGTCGTCCCCTGCTAAGGAAAACAAAGGAAACGGGGTAAGCTAGAAGCTTAGTAAGTAAACAGGGGTAAAAACGTAAATTTCACGTAACCACATTTACACAGTAGGAGTAAAGAAAAAGCAGAAAAATAACATCACATGATAAGGATACATATGGCTCCAAAGCCAAGTCATTTGCCATTTTTGATCTCCTGTCGACACTCCGTCGACCATAAATAAGGTCCGTAGAACTTCACTTGTACACCCATCGGATACCTTATCACCCTCACTGGCCAGTCACCTCACAAACTTGCCCGGGCGAACGAAATCACAAACTTGAGCTTGAGTCACAAGCTCGGGTCACAAACTTGGTTCACAACTCGGTGAACCGGATTCACAAACTTGGTGACCTCAATTCAAGTTGGACTGACTTCGACCAAGCCCTAACCCGCTCGAATAGTCCATCGAGGTGTTGAGATCAGCCCCAAACTCACAAATTGCACAAAATTATTCAAAAGTTACCCTGAGCCACAAGCTCAAGGGTTTTAGTTCCAAAATTGCTTATATACACAAGCCATGTACAGATATGTGCGCAAATTAGGGTCTAGGTCGAGTGCGATAAAGTACACCCTCGCCTAGGTACCCTCTTCATACAAATCGAAACACATAAGCAACGAACACACAAGAGCGGCCTGAATACTTACTCAAAATACCAAAAGTAGTACTAAAGCAAAATCGCTTCGCGCGTGTTCGCTAGTAGTGGGCCCCACCGGCTCCGCCTAGCTCACCACTGTCTGAAATAGAAGATTTTATCACATTATATCACAAACAGCTACTAACAGATCCAAAACAAGCAAAACGGCAAAAATCGGCACACGCGCTCGCGCGGAACGGCAAACGGAAACGGCCAAATCGGCCATCTCAAACCGTTTTGATCAAAAGTTAGTCTAGGAATATCGGATCAAGGTGAACGAGACACCGTTTCGAAGCTATGAGGAAGGGCTACAATTCTCATGAAGACACCCTAAACTAGATCCGAATCAACACAAGTCGAAATCATGGAAAACGGTACCAGAAGTTTGCATTTTGAATGACAGACGGGGTCTGTTTACTGGACCATAACTTCTAGCTCACAAGTCCAAATCAGGAAATTCCAAAGGCATTAGAAATCTGAGACATAAGGCTAAAACTTTGATGTTTTGGCCAAGACCTGAATCCACTCAGAACAGAACGAAAATTGAGTGCCAAAGTACCCGTCAGAACTGTCCAGATACAAGGCAGTTCTGACGATCAATCTTGTTTTGATCATAACGGAAGCTACGGAACTTGGATTTTGACGCACTTTATACCGTTTCGAAGCTGAGACCAAGATCTACATTTCTTATGAAGGAGTTGACACCCAGATCATACTGGATCAAAACGGAAAACCCACGGTCAGAAGCTGAAATTCAAAACGTACACAAACTAATGGCTAAAACAGGCCTGAGTGTTCTGTCTATAACTCAGAATACACTATTCCGTTTGACATGAAATTTTACAGACATATATAGAACTTAAGGGGATACATTTCATCAGAAGACCTTAACATCCAATTCCAAAGATATTCCAGCCAAAACAACCAATTTCAGACTCTGTTCTTACATTCGGATGAATCCAGAACAGCAATAGTAATTTTGACTTTTCTCATTCTACACTACTCCGATTGACCTGAAATTTTACAGTCACCTCTAACACATCAATACCTACAACTTTTATGTTTTAAGCTAAGGCCAATTCTGCCTCTATCCATGAGATACAAAACCGGACAGAAATGAGGGATATGAAACCCTAGTCTTCCAAATTTTCTTCCAAACCAAGAATTGCTTGCAATTATCAATCATTTACACCTACTAGAGTTATTAAACATCATTTCCAATCATCATAGATAGCCACACCATCATGATCATATTAAACCAGAAAAATCACCAATAAATTGAAAACTTCATCAATTCATCCAAAAGCAAGAAATAACCACAAAATTCATCACTTTATCTATCACTAGGCATCAATTAAGCTTCATTAGATGAAGGAGAAGGTTCATTCAGTACTCACCTAGTAAAACAAGAGAGAGAGAGTTGCTTGACACCTTAGCTTCTCCAAACACTTCACCAAACTACTAAATAACACCTAATGAAGAGATTTTATGGAGTAGAAACAAGTTTATGTGATTGTTTTGGAAGATTTGAGCTAGATAGAAGCTAGAAATTGGAAGAGTTTTCTTTCTTCTTTGCTCAAGATGGCCGACCAAGAGGGAGGAGGAAAGAGTGAATTTTTGGTAAGTTTTTGAGATATTTTAACTAAATGGTAAAAAGTCAAAAAGGTGAATAGTTGTCCAACAAGTCCAACCAATGAGATAGTGACACTTGTCACTCCATTTAAAGCATCTCTATCCTTTTTCTCTCTCACATCAATCACATCACAACCTCTACTTATCTCTTAACACCCGATAAATTTCACCCAGTGTCCGGAACTTAACCTAATTGGCCGAATTTTTCCGAACTTTTCGTACTGGCGGGTCCCACGTCTGTTATATATCTTTAATTTCTCAAAAACTAACCGATACTAGAAAAATCATCTAAAACCTATATTTACTCATAAGAATTATCTGGGGAAAGTTCTAATAAAGAAAAATGTAGAAAAGGCGGGCGATAAAGAAAAACCCCACTTAAACTTTCTAATAAAATAAACTAGGGTTTTCAACCTTAACCGAGGTTAGGGTTTTTCTCCTTAGCCTTAAAACCCGAATTCCATCCCACCGTTTTACGAATAACCCTCATATCAGCTTACAAACGGACTGGGGCCTCACAATATCAGGTATGAGGTCCTCTAAAGAATAAAAAAAGTGATAAAAATCACTTTATGTGAAGTCCCCAAAACATATTACTCCAGAGCAAGTCCTTTTGGGCCTCAATCGTATTGAAACAGTTGGGAAAAGAAGAGAGAGAGAGTGGGAGCTCTACTGGTTTGCAGAGGAGAAATTTCTAATTGATGATAGCTAGTAACAGAACAGCAGAGGAAACTGAAATCCAGTAGAGCTTCTTCAGCAAAGCCCCAATATTCCCAAAACTGAAAGCCTGGTCTCGCGTACGTCACTGGCATCTGTCCTCGAGTTGGAGTGAGACGGATCTGCTACTCCGGCTATGGCTTCTGTGGATGGCGATAAGCAAGATGAAGAAGAAAAAGTGAAAAATGAAGAAGCAGTGAAGTGACCGAAATACCCTTGCTTAGTTGCTCAATTAGTAGGTTAATCGAATTTACATGGTGGCGCCGCCGCGGCGTTCCTCAATTGGTAACGCAAAATAAGTATAGGTATCAAATTGGCCAAAAAAATTATATTGGGACTAAATTGACACTATAAAAAAGTATAGGGATGAAATTGGCCATTTTCCCTTTCTTATAATTCTCTTTTATTTTGAATAAGTTAATTTATAATTTCTTTAATACTAATTTACTTCCCTTAATAGTTGTAATAAATAATAGAGTCAAGAGTTTTACTTTTACTTTTATAGTTTGGTGCATGCTAAGTTTTATGGTGCATTGGGATAGTATGATCAATCGGTGAGGTGTGTGCATTACATTTAGTTGATAAAAGAGGGTTTTAAGTAAGAGAAAATATGTTATTAAAAGTGCTAAGAGTAAATTAGTGAATCATAAATAAAAAATACAAGAGAGACAAAGAAATAGGCTTGAATCGACTTGCGCTGCTTGTTACCGGTTAAAGACACCACTTGATCAAGACTTTCTTTCCCTAATCTTCTTATTTATCTTTTATTTTTCCATCCCTATTTTTCTTTAGCATGCTAGCCAAAATTTTTGACAAAAAAAGAGAGGAAAAGAAGAAAAAAG